CCGTTATACTTAACTGGACCTGATTAGATTTGGTCACTGTTTGATTAGGAGTGATTAATAATGATTAGGAGTGATTAATAATGATTAGGAGTGATTAATAATGATTAGGAGTGATTAATAATGATTAAGAGTGATTAGGAGTGATTAATAATGATTAAGAGTGATTAGGAGTGATTAGGATGATTAGTGAATTCCTAATCAGCTGTTTCCCCCTTGGTTTGCACGCTCGGATACACAAAAGACTTTTATGCAGCAAATGGTTCTCATAGGAAAATATACATTGTGATGAGTTGTGTTTAAAAACTAACTGAAATTTGATAAATTAGAAATATCGAACGTAGTAAGATGAGAACGTTCGACATGAAATAAATAATTTTACTGCGTTTTATATTGATTTTCTTGTACTGAAATAACCTCTTTTTTATACGGCACATATCATTTTTCGTCTTTATATTAAAGTTATTCTTAGTTTTTTCCTCCTTCTAATTTTATTGTTGATCCTGAAAATTGATACCTTGTTCACCTGTATTAAAAACAAATCTCATTTGAACTATTATAGAATCATCCAGTTTTAATCTTGGAAAATCAGTTTTATGAGACTGAAAATTGTCAAATAGGAACTGAAAACCAATAATAAATATTTTATTGATAATAAGATGACTCATATAAGAAACTCAAAAAGAAATTCATATAAAAAGCTTGAAAGGGTGTTTCTAACCGATCTTACACTAAACTAATATGCTGCCAGGTGAATACGATATTCCTGTTGAGAAAATATAACTGTAATGCTAATGAATGAGATACTATAATAAGTATTCTGTATCAAAGATTTTGGTCTTGAAATATCTTGACTTGAAACTTCGTGCTATCAAGTATCATACAAGAGTAGCTACATCACATAAAAAATTTCATATCGAATGGTTTACTGAAAGAGTGTAGAAGCCTGAATGAATCACTATGTATCACAGTTTTTCATGGATCACATTAAATTGCAGTGGTTAAGACAAACCAGAATATTAAACATTACGATTAAATAATCTATAGAATGCAAGAGTATAAAGTACATCTGTCAGAAAAAGTAATTAAGCCATAGAGAAGCGTCAACTACACGCACCATTATATATGAAATTGTTACAGATCATATTGACTACTTCATTGAGTTTTAGTCTTCTTAGCTATTTTTTTATCACCGTGTTCATTTGAGTAGATTTTTTATCGTTTTTTTACATTATAAAAACTTCAACTAGCATATGCTATCATCTCTATTATCGTATGTTTTAACAGGTATCGTTTATTATCTAAAATGTGCTCATGCAAACAATCATCAAAAGCACGGTGAAGATCCAATTCTTATATATCCAAATTATATCCAACGAAAAGATACACGAAGTTACACATCTCAAAGCATTCAGCATGGGCATTACATCTATTTAGGAGGAGATTATGCATGTGAAAGGGAACTTATTGAACGATACACTTCTGATCTTATTTCAACTTCATATTCGTGGCAAAAACAAGTAGATAGTCTTAATAATCTTGCCTTCAACACTAGTCGGTCTCAAGCAGTTCCCATCAACATGCGTCGTTTTTCACAAATTGTATTTACTTTCAAAATAATAGAAATGGATCTATGTTTGGGCAGTACTGTTGTTACTACTCCAAGAGAAATTGATCAATTTGATATGTGGGCATGGTCTCAGTATCCTCGTCTTATGTCAAGATTTATTTATTTGTGGTCAAATCATAAAACTCTTATTGGTCCTTGTAATATTGGTAACAATAAATGTTTATCATGTTTCACAATAGATGGTCACCAAAAGGCACGCAGACGAATTTGCCGTACTAAGCAAGTTGATTACCAGAGCAGTGATTTTACAGAGCCACTTGTCATTGGATGTTGGAGAACGCCCATCCGTCATTCACTGTATTGTGAAATTCATCAAGATTATCAAAAATTAGATGAAACAAATAAAACTAATCGAAAAGGTATTCGTACTTATAAATTACGCAATTCACGACAATGGAAACGGCAAAAAACTATATTCTTTGGCGCTACAAATTGTAATACAAATAAAGCCAAATCAGCATCCTACGTTAATAAGTGTTCTAGATCATTTGGACTTTTAGCGATGGTGACAAATTGTAAAATAGTTTTAAGTTTTTCTGAAATATTCAGAAGTGAAACATTACGAGAAATCGTTCAATTAATTATAAATACGATAAGAAGTTTGTTTTATTTTTCCATTCTTTCATTTTTTCAAAATAATATTGAATTTTTTTCTGAATTTAGTTGGTGGTGACGCTTTGCCAAAAATAGCCTGCTATGATGATGGTTGCCACCTTGTTAAATTTGTACAAAAAAATATTGGTAAGCTTATTACTAATACACCAGCTTCCGATGCACTCAAAAATACTAAATTTTATATTGACAAAGCACATTGGAAAAATCATATAGGTACTTGGTGCAAAGCAAATATGTCTCCCTATTCCAGTTCAGGTATATCGGTCTCCTTAAAATAAACAATATTACGAAAATTTTTTGTTTAACTATTTTAGCATTAAATATGATCAATACCCAGTGTGCAGAGCAGTTTTTTTCTTGGTTAAAGCCATATTCAACCATTATCAGTAGTCTTGGTTGGCTGCGGGCACCATTATATCTTTTAGTACTTTTTCATTATAAAAATTTATCCACTTGCCGTGTACGTCCGAATGCACATTTTGATATTGTAAGTTCACGCATAAATGCATTAAATTAATGAAGAACAACAACTGTTTTAGGCAAATCTGGTACCTGATGCACCAACTGTAAGTCTTCCACATGCAGCTAGTGCTCTAGAAAATGCTTCTAATCTACCGCCTGCTAAAAAAAATGATTTAATCACCAATAAAGGTTCCACCATTACTGCTCATTCTACTACAATAGATGGCAATAAATGGATAGAAATATCAAACAATATTGAATTCAATATTAAATCCACGTCTACGAAGACAATACGAAACGTATCTGATACTATTGATAATAAATGGACAGCGATCGCTAGTACTATTAATTCACTACAACCAGATCTCTTGAAAAAGTCAAAAACAAGAACACGATCATACAGCACCATTAATAAATGGACTCTTCAAGCTGAACAAGTGCGCAAGCAAGTTAAACACGAAATATATAAATCCTCCGTCGAACAATTAACTATTAAAATTAGCTAAATCACGATATAATCATTTAACAGAGAAAATATTCGAATAATATGAGTTCACATTTATTTTATAAGTCTATTGTATTGATTATGTATCTATTTCTGGAGTTTCTATGGTCTTACTATTGTTTTTTAGTTCATTATCTGGATTTTCTTATACATTTATACCATATCTAAAATAAACATTTGATTGTCTACATAAATAACTTCGATGATAACTGTAACGTACAGGTTTCATATTAATCATTTTATGAATCAAAGTAGATCCGGAGATAAACTCATTTTATGGACATATTGAAGTTTTACATTAGCAATTTCAAATAGTAGAGATCGCATGAAACAGATAAAGAATTAAATTAGCTAAGCTTATATTCGATTTGAGATCTAAAATTGTTTCTCCAATATAGATATTGAAAGACACATCGCTTACTGCAGATTCAAATAAATACCTAGGTTTACTTACAGCTCCTAATATAAACAGGAACAGATCGTAAAATTTATTTTAAAACTATGAATAAATTTTACAACAGAAATGGATTCCAGTATTTATTAAAATGTTTCAATAAGTTCCAAAACAGCAATAAATCCCGGGATTTATTAGAAATCCCAATAGATCTGGACAAATAATTCCTGAAAGCTCAACGACACCTGAATCCCGTGATACATTCTAATGATTCGAATAAGTGTCAAGACTAAGATAAATCCCGGGATATATCCTAATGATACGAATAAGTCCCATGAATGAAATAAATCCCGGAATTTATAAAAAGTCCCAATAAGTCCCAAAAAAATAAGTCCCGGAAGCTGCCGACTTACTCTCCCATGCAACGACACCTGCACAACAACTTGCCCTACATACTATCATCAAAAATCTTCCCCAAGGCGTTAAAACCTTTCAGCAGCTACACAAATCGCAAGCCGGAAACCACAGTACGGAAAAGACGCCACTTATATGGCAAAGTTAACGTCGCTTCCATTCACAACTAAATGCGCGAAAGCATCCCTTCCCAATCCACAACGCATTCCAAAACAAAAAGCCACCGATATTAAAACAATAATTTCTGACGACGCAATATGCAAACAAATCCCAGAAATAATTCCTATTCAACATCGTCATCATCATCATCATCATCATCAAGTCAACTTATTAAAAATAATTCACAATCGACCACAGCTGTTGTTCCTAATCGTAAACGTACACTTGGATCGACACACAAAATCAACAGTGAAAAAAAACGAAAGAATTGAAATTATCCTTAATATTTTTTATTATGCCATAGCTATACTATATGGTTCTATTTGTACATCATAGCTTTACATTGTACAGCTAAATTATTTCTTGATGCTGATAAATTTTTTTTTGTACGTGACATATTTTATTAGTTATATGGTATTTTAAACCTTTATTTGTAAACTGCACTCTTACTACTTTCTTTTTTAGAATACAAATATATGTGAACAAATTTCAATATAGAAAGAAACCAAATATTTTTGTTTCGTTCGAAATGCATCATATACTAATCTTTGTCTTGTACATTAGAAAGCTCGAATTTTTATCAAATAGTTTTATAAAAAGTGTCCTCGTATTAACAATTCATTGGTATACATATTTATACAGAAGTAACTTCTGTTTGATTGTGAATCTATTATAATATTATCCGTTATACTTAACTGGACCTGATTAGATT